TGACTGCTAACGTTAGGTATATCCCAAAGAGCATCTTTGTGATTTGTATAGAGTCACTTATCCTGTGTCTGTAACTAGAATGCTTCCCTTTCTTAAAAGCTTCCTGAAAAATGCACTAGGACACAGCTCGCCCCTTTTACAGACAACCCCTCAATGTCTTGGGTTGAGATTAGAAATACAGGAAGTCCAGATTTCAAAAGCTAACAATGTGGATTGAAAACCTGGCTGGGATTTACACATCCACTTTTACTATTTGATTCTACACAAAGTGCCACCTTCCCCAGCTACCCTCCTAGGTATGCATTCAGAACATCCACACAGCAAATACAAACCCACTTCACATAAGCAAACAGCCACACAACCCCTCTGATGCCATTCACTTTTTCATAAGCACCTATAAATCATAAGCCTCAAATACGTGTGTTTCAACAGTTCTATTTTGCCTTTATGTACTTTCTTCTTTGTTACAGCCACTGACTCTAATGATGTTACTTTTCCACCAGGTGCTTTGTATTCAAGAAAGTTCACCATAGATGGAGAACAGATCTCTCTACAGGTGCAGGACACTCCCTTTGTTTCACTGGAGGTAAAATATCTGCTCAGTGCATTGTACTTCACAACACAGTCATTGCCTCTTGCTTGTTGCCAGCACTTCCATCTGTAAGTAACTCCATCTAGCAGCAGAAAAATACCCAAATACATTTGGGGCTCAAACCCAAATGAAGAGTAATGGATGTCCCTTAAACCGATCAAAATGAGCCTTGAAGAGGTTTAATCAGGCTCCTTTAAGTAAGTCAAAATTAAACCAAATCTATTTCAAACATATCACTGCATCCCAAGCCTAAAGAGCAGTAAAATCACAACCTGGCTCCCTTCTGCCACCTTCTTGGTTGTTTTATTTCCTGTCAAATGGATTCTAGCCCTGCATGGCAGAAAGCTCACCTGCTTAGAGGCCCAGCTGGGGCCAGAATCTCTCTTCAATAGAAAGGTATTTCTTCCAAGGGGACAGGCCTCACAGCAGTTGTCATTTCCAGCTAGGGTGGCTTTCCAGTGCTTTCCTTAGTCTTTATTAAAAGCATTCCTTATTTTTAAGGTGATAGCATTGACCTACAACCCTCTTTCTATCAGTGTTTTACATATTCTAGATTTAATATTTGACTAGGAACCTGCTTCTAGAAATATTTTTCCAAGCAGGGTTTAAGATTAAGATGTCTTTTCTGGAAGATTTGCTTCAAATGCAGAATAAGGGGATGAAAATAGTGTCAAAGCAGCAGGAAATAATGAAATCTGCGTTTCTGTGAATGGTGGAAATCTCATGAGAGTAATAATTCTTCTAGAATAGCTGGGATTTCATGATAAAATTAGATATACCCTTGTCACCATCAAATCTAAGTTTGCAGGTTTGGCCTTAACCTCAGTCTAAGCTCAGACTTGGCCAAATATATGCCTGGATGGGAACACCACCTTCTCTCATGTTCTTTCAGGCTAGCCCTAGACAACTTTATCCACCCTGTTTTGTCCACACAGACCCATGCATGGGTACTTCATTTCTGTGCTGTACACCTGTTCCACCCTGAGTTTACAGAACAGGATAAGCAAAGCTCCTGCAGCCTGTTTCCATTTCCATTTTCTCTGACGACTGGAAGTAGATTCAAGTGGGAAGCTTTGACTAAGAGCAGAGGAGAGGACCCTTCCTTTACTCTGGACACTAAAAGCAAACAAAAGCTGCTATGGAAGTCCTCCAAATATTCAAGTGGGATTTAACAGTACAAAGGCCCTATGCCAGCTTGCTTAGAGAAGACCTGCAAAGAGAAGCTGTGGGTGGTGATTAGGCACAATTGGGACTGCCTGATAAACACTTTGCAAAGGGAATCCCCTCTCTGGTCTATCCCATGGAGAAAGGAGGGAGTGGAAGAATTTAATTCCCTCTTTCACACCAGATACATGTTTATTTTCCTGTTTTAATTAAGACTGTACCCTATAATTGTGTGATTGTAGCCAGAGCTCCACAATATTTAGTGATGCCAACAGCTGAGGTTTCTCACTTTCAGTTTAGTTAGGAAGGAGTTTCATTTTCTTTGTCCCAGTCGAAGGTCTGCACAGACACACATCTCTTAGCCTGTATCTCTGTTTGCATCAAATGATGTATCTGAAACATTTTGAAGGGGCTGTTCCTGAACAGGGTTTGTTAAAGCTGGGAATAGTTTGGATTTTCTATTAAAATCCTTAAGAGAGTGTCTTGCACTTTGCAGCCTGAACACAGTGTTTTGGGAGGAAGTCATGCGGAATCGCTCAGGATTGTGGCCACACCGGAAATGTTAATGTTTAAGACAGAAACAGAAGCAACCAGATCACTGGTTTTGTTCAGTGAATCATTGCTGCTTGCTCTATAAATTGCAAATGACTGTGTGTTTCAAAATTCATTCTGGAGCAGAGATTTCCATTTAAAAAGTAGTCCATTAGCCTTTGATTGTCCTGAATAAAGCATTCCATTTGGGATTATCCATCCATCTCACTCCTGGGTGGGCCTAGCTGGTAACTGAGAATTCCAGCTCATTAGGGCTCTCTGAATGTACACCTTCTCCAAACCTATTTTCCAGTGCTTGCCAGAGCAATTAGTTCTTTTTACCCATGAAAGGATTTTGCTGGTGAAAAGAGGCTTGAAGGACATGGAGGGTGGCTCATTATCCACAGCTTGGATACAGCCCAGATGCCACCAGTGCAGATTGCCCTTCTTCCCACAGCCTGCCCTGCCCTGGCTTGAGTTCACTTTAGTAACCTTTTAAACAAGGCTGCTAGTGAGGAGCTCTCTTCACTCCACGTGCAAACCTGATGGGGTTTGGGATTTGAGGGTTTCGGAGGGAGAGGAGTGATAAGAGCATCTGTTAAACAATTTACTGCTAACAGCATTTACTGTTAGTGTGAGCTGGCAAGGGCATAGAGCTACCAGGTAGTGTATTTACAGGCAATACTGAAATATTTACAAAGGTCAGACAAATAAGCGGGGCAGTTAGTTAAGGGGCCTTACAAGAAACCTGGAGAAGGACTTTTGACAAGGACCTGTAGGGACAGGACAAGGGGGAATGGCTTTAACCTGACAGAGGGGAGACTGAGATGAGGTCTCACCCTCTTCCCTGTGAGGATGCTGAGGCACTGGCACAGGGTGCCCAGCGAAGCTGTGGCTGCCCCATCCCTGGCAGTGTTCAAAGCCAGGTTGGACACAGGGGCTTGGAGCAACCTGCTCTAGTAAAAGGAGATCCTGCCCATGGCAGGGGGTTGGAGCTGGATGATCTTTAAGGTCCCTTCAGCCCAAACTAGTCAGTGGTTCTATGACTCATTCCAATTAGCAAAATGCCTGTTGAAAGCTGTAACTCTAATTTATAATCTGAGCCTTCAGAAATTCTACTTTCTTCTTCTCACAGAAGAGCCTTGTCACTAGCCTTTTTTCACGGTTTAATCTACCATAAAAGAACTGATCAGTTTTACTCATTCTTTTCCACCTCTGCTTCCTGAAGCCAGGTTTTATAATTCATATTTAGTGCCTAAATAAAAATGAGCTGTTCCGAGAGGTTGCTGAACACACACAGGTTCTGTTCAAAATAATGTGAATGGCAGATATATATTCTATAGATAAATGGATAATGGAACTTATGTTCTAATAGTGTTACTGAACTTGATGAAGATTTATTGACTAGAATTTAGCTGTAATGATAACAGTTCGGGCTCTGTATTCATGATGTTAAACTCCCTCTAAAATACACAAAAGGCTCTAATTCCTAGCAGCTTCATCCCAAGCTGAATCCTGAAGACGCTTATTGCCTTGTTGGATAGAAAAGAAATGACAAAGTTCCAGAAAGCTGTAATATTGACAGTCAGTTCTCACAAAGCAAGCACACAGGCAATAACTGCAGCAGGGATCTCCGTATCTGCTTGGGTTACACGCCAGCATGGATGACAAAGAGCAAAGGATTAGCTGAAAATAGCTTCATCTTGAAAAGTGAGCTGATCTCTTTGCAAGCCCCAACAGTATTGTGTTCACTTTTATATCCCCAAGGCTGGTGATTATTATGGCTGTCTGAGTAGGAGTGGTGATGGACTGAACAAACATGTGGCTAGCAAAACCTAATGTAAACCCATTGCTGCTCTGTAAATGAGCAGCGAGGTTTCACAGCATTTTCAGTCCCAGCAGCTGGTTATTTGTAACAAATTGCTTTTTAGAAGTATCTTTGTCTTTGGATGTCTGGTAGAAAAACCTGTTAGGCCCCATCAGCATCACTGTCTATGGGGACATTGAATACAGCCTTGGAAAAAGCCCTAAAACCCCACCTGGGGGACAACCATTCACTTGCGGTACTTTTACTGGCCTGCTGAGTTTAATAATGCTCTTATTGTGCCCATCACAATTTTATCCGCAATAAAAATGTGGGTTTTTATCACACTGGTTTAGTGAAATAGAACAGAGAACAGACTTTTCAATATCAGTATTTTGGCTGTTCTCTTCTTTCCAACCAATTTTTCCTACACCTCTCCACTGCTTACTTTGTGATGTGTTACCGGCACAGTGGAAACTTCTCCTGTCCCTGGTACATTCCCTGGCAGTCAGAGAGGTTTCTGCCCATACATTTAGAAATAGCCATGCTTTGAAACACAGCTCTTGAGTAGCTATAGCAGTGCTGTAGGACTGATTATTCTGCTTCCTATTCCCAGTTTCCTAACTTCACACCTCTTGGTTTTGATGGCAGGATGACACTGACAGCATATGTTGCCAAGAGCAGATAAACAGATCAATCTACTGGGCAGATGGCTTCGTTTTTGTTTACTCCATCACAGACTATGAGAGCTACAGAGTGATCCGTCCCCTGCACCAGCACATCCGCAAGATCCACCCAAATGCCAACATCCCCCTGCTCCTGATGGCGAACAAAGGAGACCTCCTGCGAGCCAGGCAGGTGTCCTCCAAAGAAGGGCTCCAGCTGGCCAGTGAACTGGGAGGTACTTACTATGAAGTCTCAGCCCGAGAGAACTGTGAAGGAGTGCATGAAGCCTTCCAGCAGCTCTGCCAGGAGGTCAGCAGGATGATTGGGAGCTGCAATGGAGAGAAGCGAAGAGGCCTCCACCTTGTGCGACCCAAGTCACCAAATATGCAGGACTTGAAGAGACGTTTGAAACAGGCTCTGACTTCCAAAGGGAAATCTGCCACTACGCTTTGATGTAGACAACAGGAACGGCTTTCTACAGCCCTGAAAAACAGGCAAGAAAATAAGATGGAAATAAGGGGCATTGCTGCAATTCAGCAGTCTGGTAGTGTGAGGGGCTCTTCCAGTTTGTCTTTACATCTTCTGTACAAACCCCACACACATTCAGCAAAGGAACTTACAGAATTTGCTCTTTGGGGCAAGAAACTGTGATTTAAAAACCAGATTGTCCCGAATTATTTCCTTTTTGAAAGGGACACAGTCAAATAGTTTAGGCTTAAAATGTGGATTTTATTAATAGAAACAATTAAACCCTCCTTTTAAGAGAAGTGACTACTCTAGGGGATGGTTGTATTCCCATAGGCAAGAAGCTACAGCAAGACACGAGGAGAGTGATATGACCTACACTGAGCAAGCAAATTGACCAGATTTGCTTAAGTCACGAGACTGGAAAATAAAGGCAAAAAGTAAATTTAGGGCATAAATAGTGAAAAGTAGTAACTGAAAGCTTTAAATTGCAGTTTAGAAGGTGTTGTTAGCAAGATGGGGAGAGGTTCATGCAGATGCAAGCTTCAGCCTCACAGTGTCTCTTTAAAGGGAGATGTTTAAAAATCACTAAGTTTTTCAGATTATTTTTCTTTAAGCACACATTGACTGTTTCTGAAAGGGGTTATATGGGTGAAATACTACTTGTAGCAGCATTCTGTAGTCAGTTTCTCAGCATTGTACTTATTTTTCTGTAGGTTTCCTACATGGCAACCAGAGAGGGATAAGCAGCGCAGGATGGTTTAACACCTGCAAAAACCAGACTGTATTAATCAAGAGCAAGGAGGTGATCTAAAACTGTTGAACTTTTCCTTTCCAAACTAGGCAGATTTCAAGCTCAAGATGCTGTTTTAGAGAAAGAAAACCTTCACGTGAAGTGAAGATTCTTCTTTTTTGAAGGAAAAGAAGAAAAGGATTTATGATGCCTAAAATCTCTGGCTTCAGGAATTTGTCATTTTGTTATTTGCCTTAAGACCAGGCTTTACACAATACCTCGCAGTGCATCCAAATAATTGGTCTATCCACACATACTTCACTGGCAGCATCCCACTGCATTGTATCTCAGCATGTGCAAAGGGATTCCAAGCTGTATCCTGTGAACTGGATGGTTTTATGGTAGCAATAACAACAACGTGAAACATCCGTCATTCTGTGCTTAATGAGAGTAGAAAGAAACTGGGTTGGACCATGTGAAAGTTATGATGCACCAACCTTTGCTTTAAACACACCATACGAGCAATTCACAGGCCCATGGAATGAAGTAAAGCTCCGTGATTTACACTCAGGAACAGAGGGAAAACCCTTGTTTGATGGATACAGAAAGATCCTCGCAGCTGCACTTGCAGCTGGCAATACTGAGCTAAATCAACCTTTTACTCATTACAAGCAGTGAAAATGTAAATTGAGTCTGATGAGTATTTACACAGCTCAGGGCTTGAAAATGGGGTTTACATTTTTCTTGTCCCTATATTAGACAGCTCTCATCATGATTTCCCTCATCACCTGCATTTGCTCTATCTACAGCTCACTTTGTGGTTTATTTATTGTTTTCCACAGCTGGTCAGCTGGGAATGGCTTGTGTTCTCATTGATGTAAACTGCTTTTCTTCACACAAAAGGACTGCGCCTTTTTTAGCGGTTAGTTTCAATCGGTAGTAGGAGGGGAAAAGGGAAGTCAGATCATCCAAAGAAGGACTCAAACATATCAGAGGATTTCTACTTTAGCTTAAGGCTATTTAACAGTTCAATGTTTGAACAGTGCCATTATTCAGTGCAGGCACTTTGGGATGGTGTTTATTAGCACTGAATTTCAATATTTGAAATGACTAATAGCAAATATTAAATCTGAAGATTGAGTAACATGGAATAGAGCAGTTTGTGAGCCGCACACAAACTGCAAATGGTTTACATTGGAAAAATGATGCCATATTTTGAATAGCAATTAAAAGTTTTACCATCGCAGCCTGTGTGTCAAGGGCTAAATTTGCCAAAGACAATTTGCTGACAACATTTGTTCTCATGAGAGCCTAAGACAATTCCGTGCTCTCACTGTTCAGTGTGGTTGTAGCTTACTCTTGCAGCTCTAATCCTTTCTTATTTGGGGGAAAAGATTCAACAGATTTCAAACCTTCCAATGTTTTGTTTTCAATAGTGATTAATAAAAACATTCAAAGCCTTTCCCGAGAGTGTACAAAATGTCTCACATCTTTAAATGTTCCTCGCTTAAACTACGCTAACAATATACCTTTTTTGCCTTCTACAATCTAATGCACCCTACATGTATTGCTGCATTTGTATTCCTACAGAAGTAAGTATTCCCACATTCCTGTGGCACTGGTGGGGAAAAAAAAGCCTACATTTTAGCTAAGGCCAAGAAACACAGAAACATTTAAGTTTTCTCCTAACTACTAACATGTGGCAAACATTTCTTCTGCTACAGAAACTTTAGTATTTCCTTTGTTCATTGACCAGCAATACAAATCCTGTTAGAGCTTTGATACTGGGTTTAAGCCAGGACATGCCATCTACAAAAGACAATAGAGCTCAGGCTTTTTACTAGCAGGGCAGTCTCCAAGAGCTAGGACACATCATTGGGCCACTGAAGCTAAGCAAGGCTGAGGAAGGAGAATGGTGGCATGAAAAGCAGGGAGAAGAGAAGGCTATAGAATTAAGTACCTAAAAATAATCATATAAAATATCAAAGTTTAGTCATGTAGAACCTGATCCTGAATTAGAACCTTGAGGCAGCCAAGGAAAAAACATGTATTCTACTGAAAGTTTAAAATTAAGCCTCTAGAGAGAAGGTACTTGGCATAAAGTCAAGAGAAGAGAGGAAAAAACGATTGGAGAGTGGGTTTTTTGTGGGGGATATCAAGGCAAATTCTCTTCTCTGTTATATTAAGTCCAGATTAACTCCATTGGAAGCAATACTATCAGCAATAAGCTATAAAACTCATTTTTCTTTTACTCCCATCTCTTTTCATTCTCCTGAGCCATTTAAATCTTGTGCACCATCTGGTTTTCAAGATGGTTTACAGCTGGGTTTACTTGGGCACAAAGCACTTGAGTGATTTGCCCCAAGGTTACACAGCTGAGCAAGTGCTTGAGAGGAACTCACAAACTGTGTCCTTTGTAATTAATTCCCAATGCTTCACAACAGCTACCAGACCATACCACCTCCCTCAAGGTATGCACAAAGCACAGTGAGTTGTGTTACAGAAGAATGTAATTAAAAGTTGGGAAAAGTTACTTAAATTATAAGCTATGTTAGGAACTGCCTGAGCAAAGCATTGCTGACATCCTGGAACTGGATGCAATTACAGTAATAGCAAGCCTGGCTTTGAGTTATTGAATTTATTTGTAAATGGCTATTTTCTGCAGTATTCCTGTCAGATGCATTTCTCACACGTTTCCAGTGGTTCCCAATGGAAATACAGTGTGACTTGGGAAAATCAGGCTCCATTTTTAACTTTTCCTGTGACTTGATGATCTTGGCCAGGTCTCTTAATCAAAGTTATGTGTCCATAAGGATGAGGAAAGATATTAACACATATTTGCTATGCAATTCAGCATCCACAAGAGAGACTCACCAATGAGAAACAAAGGACTTGCCTGCATTGGCAGTAGGGATGGCTTAAATCTTGATTCTGTATTCCTTAAATTCAGAGTGGTTTGGATCCCATGTTTACACTCAAAACATAGGAACAAATGGAAAATTCAGATCTTGATTTCAAGGAAGAGCTCAGATAGAAATATTTGTATCCAGGGTCCATGCCTACACACAGGATTTATGCCAGGTGCACAGATGAAGAGGAAAGAGTAACTTTCTGAGACATCAAAGAAACTTAGGCTGTACCAGAAAATGGTTGTCTAATTGTTTTACAAGGCAAACTGGAAGGCTGCCAGCTCATTGTTCCTGCTTGATTTACCTCTGCCCATTACAGGCTGGAGGACTTTGGGTCAGAATCACACTGACACTGCAAGAGCAGCACCTCTGTCTGCAGAGCCAGCACATGACCCCAGAGCGGCAGAACACGATGATGTATTTGCCAGGATTCTATGGTTCATGTATCTTCAAGAGTTCTTATGAGCTGAACCCATCTCCTTTGGGGCTAGCACAGGAAAGCTATGCAACTGAAAGTGATAAAGCTCTCCAGTTTCACTCTAAAAGCCCCCAAAACAGGAGCAATGGTGCTAGAAAAGATCTATCACCTCTGGAGACAAAGCGAGACTCTTCCTTTGATCATTTTTCACCCCTGTTCTCACTGGCTATGCCCTTCCTCATCCCTCTCTGTTCATGCCTTTGTTCTCATTTAGCAAGCAAAACCTCCTGCAATTGTTCTTCCTTTGGCTTAGAAATATAATTTTTGCTGTTTAGTTTAAAACATATTTCCAAGTATTTTAACTCCAAACATGGTTCATAGCAAAAGAAGTATGTCTACTCAGCCTTTTGACCTTATTTACCTAAAGCATTTTAAAGCACATCTAAATGAAGTCAGTTCAACTGTGTATTTAGACAACCCTTTGAATTCCTGCCATTTCTCCCCAAGTGCTCTCACTGCCTTAGCCCGATATTTCCTTCCCTTCTTTTGCGCTCACAGTGTTGAGCTGACTTCTGTTGTGCAGTCATTGCTTACTGAAACCTTTTCAGGTCTTGCAAAGTTCTGCTGCTCTTCTCTGAACTCTCTTTGGTTGAATTAAGCAAGTCCTCTTCTCTAAGCAGTGGTGCAAGTTGCACCTGAGCTCAGAACAGCTGCTGATTTTCCGCTCTGTCAGGTTTTTCCCATTACTGAAGGTTTTGGACTAAACAGGAGCATGGAAAATAATGCAGCAAACCCAGTTCTAGTCTCCCTTCATCTGTCAGCCTCCTCTGGTGACAATAATTTGATCCATCACAAAGTGAGCAAGGTTTATCCTAAATAACACTGTTTCAGCACGGGTTCCTACGGATGGAAAAACACCAAATATGAAGCAAAGTTGGTAGGCTCTGCAAACCCAAGG